ATTAATCGAAATTCATGGTCGAATCATCTAAGGAGAGGATGGTTGTTGGGCATGCAAAGTGGCGGCCGATAATGCTCGTTTACTTATTGATTGGAAGACGCGTGCTTGCGAGAGTCGAAGGGTAATCTCTAATCAGCAAGTCTGAACCGCGTCCTATCTTTGTGTGTGTGTGTGTGTTTCGTTTTATTTTTATCTTTATTATTGTTTTTTTTATTTTTTTCATTTTATTTTATTTTTATTATTATTATTTTTTTTTTTTTTGGGGGGGTTATATATATATATTATTATTTGCGCTTTTCGGTTGTCTGAGGCTGGGAGGTGAGGGAACGACATTCCTGTTTGCGGGAAAGGCTTGATATATCCGGGATTCTTATTCCTATTTTTTATTCTAATAACTGAAATGATATAATATACAAACATTCATTTAAGACAAAAATTACATTCTCAAAATCACAAGACGATCTACTCGTATACAGGTCTCGATCTCCTGCCCTGCGAACACCTCCCTGCGACCTACTCTCTTCGCTGGCACCTGGATCAACGGGGAGAAAGAAGACCTGCATAGGGACCAGTTTCCGTCCTTCTCGGAAGACAGAAGTCGGTCTAAGAGGGCAGGTTAAGGTAACGAGGCCACAGGGTAAAGACCTGGATGTGTGTCTAACGGGATCGGTAATCTTGGGGACCGAACTGGAGAAGCAAAGTAGAAGAACGGCTCGATCAAAAGGACAGGTATATATTACAGATGCCGAAGATTTGTCCGAATCGGATGTTATGTTATTCTTAAATAAGCGGATAGCTTTGTGTATGGATAACATATGTGACAAATACAACATATGAAAATTAAAACGTTTTAGCTGAACTGTTTGAAGACAGCATTATACAGAAAATGGTCATGTAAGAATACATGATTTACTGTATATATGGGGATACGTATTGTAACAAATACGTCCTGTTATATATCGTCAATTCAAAGACACATGATATTGACTAAAAATCTCGGAGATATTATATCTTAGCTGCATTTGCATTCTCAGTGGAAAGTAATCAGTATTGCTATCTCGTCACCGATCGTAGTAGCAGCCCAGTTTTTGTGCTTTGAAACTTCCTATTACTAGCAATAACCTCCTAATTTACTATTTGATACGGGGTAAATTATAGTTTTCTTATTTACTGATTTCGATTTTTTAAAGATATCTCATTCATTACTTAATGCATATTATGTTTGGTAATAAGTCACCGGTCCTCACACTGCACAACCTGTTTACTTCAACCATAGAACGCAGGCTATCATTAGGCCTCAACACAAAATATACATTATCTGTGTCATCCATCAATATTGATTTTCCCCTAAAGTTCAGGCAAACACACACACACACATACACACGCAGGTGAACAGACAGACCCTAAAATAGATAGACAGATGTAGACAAATTCTTGAATTCGTAAAAGAGGAATTAGTAAATGCTGAACAAGATAACCAGCATATTAAGCAACATAAAAATTAGTAATAACAGAAAGATACGACGAATTTGAAAGGAGACAAGTCAACGATATGTACATTAGAGGAAAAAAAAAGGTTATTCACCCCGTGTTGAAGGTCACCTGCTAGGAGTTCGAGATGTCTTGGGTTTGCAGGCCAAAGTCTTGACCCCGAATCTGTGTTTATCCTCCGCGCCTTAGCTAGACTTCCTTCTTCGCCCCTTCCTTATTTGGATGTTTTTCTTTCTTTCTTTCTTTTCTCTCTGTTTATATTTTCCTTTTTTCCTCTTTGATGATGGCCATGGGGTAGGGAAAAATCGATAATAACACAATTGTACAGTGATGATGATGATAAAATGTTTTAAAAGAAAATAAATGAAATGTGTAAATTTGTTGCGGGAGAGGAAAAAAGGCAAGGCATTAGGGTTCAGGTGTTTGCATTTTGTGCTTTCAAAGATGTTTAATGGTGGACCGTGCCGGAGAAGGAAGTGTATTGCCATTACCAAAGCAAAAGAGGGAAAGAGGAAAAAAGACGGAAGGAAGGGGGAATTAGATAAATAAAAAAAAAAAGAAAAAAGAAAATCCTTGACTAATTCGATTGGCAATCATTTAGTGAATTCTTTAAGCTATGTTTTATAGAATACCTATCCTTTGAACTCTTTTGTTGTTGTTTTTTCTTTATCACGTTTTTCTCTACTAAGGGTAACAGACAGAGAACTAGAGGGATAGGAGAGAGAGAGAATACGATTATAAAATATGGTAAAAGAAACAGGAGACCATAAAATAAGATATACTTACAGAGAAACAAAGATAATGACTAGGTTTGAAAAGAATATATATCAATTGATTGACAAAGTATGAAAACACAGAAGAAAACAAAAACATAATTATAAGAAAAGAAAACAAGAAACACGCGAGTAACTGATGATGTAACACTTTATCAAACAAGGAATAATTATAATCATAGATAGCAATAAAATAACTTAGACTCGTTGACTCATGGTGTACACGGGTTGCAACATTTTTTCCTTGACTACAA